CCCAGCCGCAGCCGCTGCCACACGGACCCGCCGGGACCCGCCCGGAGGCGGCGCCAGCCGCGCACGGCGCTGGGGAGGGGCGGCGCCTCAGAGCCCCGGGACCCCCGGGACCCCCGGGACACCCAGGGACCCCCAGGGACCCCCCAGAGACCACAGGGACCCCCGGGACCTCCGGGACCACGAGAGACCCCCCAGGGACCCCCGGGACCTCCAGGGACCCCCGAGACACCCAGGGACACCCAGGGACCACAGGGACCCACCGGGACCCCCGGGACCACGAGAGACCCCCCAGGGACACCCCGGGAGCCCCCAGGGACCCCCGGGACCCCCGAGACACCCAGGGACCACAGGGACCCTCAGGGAGCACAGGGACCCCCCAGGGACCCCCGGGACCCACCGGGGACCCCCCAGGGACACCCGAGACACCCAGGGACCCCCAGAGACCCCCAGGGACCCCCACGGACCCCCAGGGACCCCCCCGGGACCCCCGGGACCCACCGGGACCCACTGGGACCCCCGGGACCACAGGGACCCCCAGGACCCTGACACACGCGTGTGGCACACACACAGACACACAGACACACACACACACACGCCTGGCACACACAGAAACACACACACGTGTTACACACACACACACATACTGTCACGCACACGCATACACATGTGTCACACACACAGACGTGTCATACACACACACACACACACACACGTGGCACACACAGGCACACACACACGTGGCACACACACACACACTGTCACTCACGCACACACATGTGTGGCACACACACACACGTGTCGCACACACCCACACATACTGTCACATACACACGTGTGTCACACACACACACACACACAGTCACACACACACAGATGCGTCGTACATGTCACTCACATGTCCCACGCGTGTCTCACCTGCGCGCCATGATGCCGTGCCGGTCCGCGGGCGTGCCCATGGCGCCGTGCACGCTGCGCACACACACACACAGATGTCACACAGTCACTCACATGACACACACATGACACACGCGTGTCTCACCTGCGCGCCATGATGCCGTGTCTGTCCACGGGCGCGCCCATGGCGCCGTGCACGCTGCGCACACACACACAGATGTCACACGCACACTCACATGTCACGTGTCACTCACATGTCACTCACATGTCCCACACGTGTCTCACCTGTGCGCCATGATGCCGTGTCGGTCCACGGGCGCGCCCATGGCGCCGTGCACGCTGCGCACACACACACAGATGTCACACGCACACTCACATGTCACTCACATGTCACTCACATGTCACTCACATGTCCCACGCGTGTCTCACCTGCGCGCCATGATGCCGTGTCTGTCCGCGGGCGCGCCCATGGCGCCGTGCACGCTGCGCACCGTGTTGATGTTGCGGAACACGAGCAGCATGGGCCGGGGCAGCGCGCGCAGCACGCGCAGCACCTGCGGGAAGCGCCGCGCCGCCATGCCACGCATGTAGCCGCGCTCGGCCGCGCTCAGCCGCCCCTCGGGCCCGCCCAGCAGCGGCGCCCGCAGCGCCGGGGCACCCATGGGTGCGCCTGGGTGAGCCTCGGCCGTGCCCGGGGCACCCATGGGTGCGCCCAGGTGAGCTTCAGGTGTGGCCATGGCACCCTCGGGCGCGCCCAGGTGAGCCTCGGGTGTGCCCGGGGCACCCACAGGCGCACTCTGGGCCCCCTCAGGTGTGCCCGGGGCACCCATGGGTGCGCCCAGGTGAGCCCCCTGCGGGCCCAGCAGGGCCGAGTGGCGGCTCAGGGGTCGCTGCATCAGCATCTCGCAGAAGAGGAAATAATCTGGGGGGCACAGGGGAGGCTCCGGTGACCCCCGGGGGCCCCCCAGGTGTGCCATGGGGTGCCCAGGTAACCCCCAGGTGTGCCCAGGTACCCCCCACCTGTGCCCAGGTACCCCCCACCTGTGCCCAGGTACCCCCAGGTAACCCCCGGGTACCCCCAGGTGTGCCCAGGGGTGCCCAGGTAACCCCCAGGTGTGCCCAGGTGTCCCCCAGGTAACCCCCGGGTACCCCCAGGTGTGCCCAGGTACCCCCCAGGTGTGCCCAGGTGTCCCCCAGGTGTCTCCAGGTACCCCCCAGGTGTGCCCAGGTACCCCCCAGGTAACCCCCGGGTACCCCCAGGTGTGCCCAGGGGTGCCCAGGTACCCCCCAGGTGTGCCCAGGTGTCCCCCAGGTAACCCCTGGGTACCCCCAGGTGTGCCCAGGTGTGCCCAGGTACCCCCCAGGTGTCTCCAGGTACCCCCCAGGTGTGCCCAGATGTGCCCAGGTGTGCCCAGGTGCCCCCTCAAGGTGAATTTCGGGGTTCCCCCCCCAAACCCCAAAATTTGGGTCCCTCCCTCCTCTCACACCTGGATTTTGGGGTTCCCCACCCCATTTTGGGGCTCATTTTGGGGTCCCTCAGGGCTATTTTGGGGTCGGTTTTTGGGGCTTTTTGGGGCTATTTTGGGTTCAGTTTTTGGGGTGCCTCAGGGCCATTTTGGGGTCGGTTTTTGGGGTGATTTTGGGGCTATTTTGGGGGCCGTTTTTGGGGTGATTTTGGGGCTGTTTTGGGGTCAGTTTTTGGGGTGCCTCAGGGCCATTTTGGGGTCAGTTTTTGGGGTCCCTCGGGGCTATTTTGGGGCTGTTTTGGGGTCAGTTTTTGGGGTCCCTCGGGGTTTTTTTGGGGCTGTTTTGGGGTCAGTTTTTGGGGTCCCTCGGGGCCATTTTGGGGTCAGTTTTTGGGGTGCCTCAGGGCCATTTTGGGGTTCGTTTTTGGGGTGCCTCACCCTGCACCCCCAGTTCCGCCGCCCGCTCCCTCATGCCCTCGCGGTCCCGCAGCACGATCGCTCTCCAGAGCCCGCACAGCGCCAGCCGGTCCCTGGGGGGGGCACGGGATTTTGGGGTTCCCTCGGGGATTTTGGGGTTCCCCCGGGGATTTTGGGGTCCCCCCGGCTGATTTTTGGGGTCCCCGGCAGTTTTGGGGCGCTCACCTCTCGCTCAGGGTCTCGTACAAGCCGTGGTCCAGCAGCACCAGCTGCGCCCGCCCGTCGGGGCCGCGCCGCACCAGCACTGCCGGGGGGATTTTGGGGGGACCCCTCGGTTTTTGGGGGACCCCCACCCCATTTTTGGGACCCCCCCCATTTTTTGGGGACTCTCCCCTTTCAATTTTGGGGTCCCTCTCTTTGGGTTTTCCTCCTTCTCTTTTGGGGACCCCCCTCTTTTTCGGGATCCCGTATTTTTGGCGTTCCCTCCCTTTTTGGGGGACCCCCACTTTTTGGGGGACCCCCATCCAATTTCGGAACCCCTCCCCTCTTTGGGGACCCTCCCCTTCATTTTTGGGGGTTCCTCTCTTTGGGTTTTCCTCCTTCTTTTCTGGGGACCCCGTCTGTTTTGGGATCCCGTATTTTTGGGGTTCCACTATTTTTGGGGACCCCTCGGTTTTTGGAGG